CAATAATATAACACGCCACTTATCACTTATATTTATAGTAATATATTATCTTTAAAATTTTCGCATGCCTTTGCAGTACTTTAGTATATATCGGCGTTTAAAGTACAAAATCGCGTATCGTACAAAAAGAAGAAAGACAATGGCTGGCAGTAAGCGACCCATTCAATATCAGAAAAACTTTTACGAATTGATTACAAAAAATCGCGCGATTTTTTATTTAAAATTGTAGCCTGCTCCGCTTTTTTTTACAAAAATCAATACTCCGATAAATAATGTCAATTTTTAGTAAAAAAATCCCGCGATTTTTATTACAAATGCCTATATTTCCATATATAATGAAAATTTTAAATAAATAATTATGCAATTTTTGCCTGCGTCGTTTTTTTTTAATAAAATCAATACATTTAAATACATACAATTAAAAGAACCGGTTAAGTGCGTTTTTTTCGATTTAAGTGTTTATCGGCATTTTTTCGTTATATGTGGCAGCACCTACATTTCAGTTCAATTGGTTTACAAAGGAAAAAGTGAGGCTGAATTAGGCAGCTTTTGCAACTTTAAATGCAAATATTTAAAAACCATAAGCCTACCGAGGGGAACCATGAGAGATTTTGAATCAGTGGGACGGGACGCCTCTACCCCCCTAATTTTTTTTTCAAAGCCTGGTTCTGTATTGGAAAATTTTCCCTATAAATAAAATAAAATATAAATAAAATAATACAAATTCTACTGGTCGTGGGACTCGAACCCACATTACTGTCGTCTTGTCAAGGCACAATTTTGATCAGATCAACAGCGCCGTTAATCCGGATTAACGTTACCGTCTGTTTATGTTTTTAGAGCGCTGCTTGGGAGAAAAATAGTTTTGCCTGCAACACTGCTATTCATCGCACAGTGATCAAGAATGTCGTAAAAGGCGAATTTCTGTAGCTCTCATAAGTGATCTTTCTATTAGATATTTGTTTTCAGTTCGCTTTGGTCGTGCAAAAGCTGCTGTTGCTTGCTCGTTCTCTTCATAGTGATTCCAAAAGCTTATGCTTAGCTCTTGTTTTTTTAGTAGAGTAATTTTATACAAAAGGTGAAATATGAGTTACCTGCGTAAAACACCGATGCGTATGGTAAGTGAGTTCTTTGGCAAGATACACAAAAAATGTGGTATTAAAAATACATACATACACACATTTATGTTTTTATGTGTGGAAAACTTTGTGTATATTAAGTGTATATAAAAAAATACCTCAAAATTTGGATTTGTGTACATATATATGTACATACATATGTATGTACGTATATTTCCATCCTCAGATTGTTAATGCAGTCCAGCGCCAGCAGCAATGTATGTCCAGCGGAACAGGTGCCATGTCAGCACTCACTGTGCTCACGGAAGATGAACGAGTAATGAAGGAAACAGGTAAGTAAAACGACATACACATGTATAAGGGAAATTTTGTGGAAATTTTTAAACACCAATTTATCTTTTGGTCCTGCGAATGATATTTTTCGCATATGTACGTAATATATTCATATCTATATATTTGCTCAAATTTTAGTTCAATGTATACATACGTACATACATATATGTTTATGCATATGCATGTATATATGCGTTCAACTAATTAGCACCGAAATTAAAAATTGTTTGCAACTTAGTACATATGTATGTTTATTTATTTATTTCTTATAATTGTAATTATTTATTATAATTTATAAATAAAAGTTTTAAAGCTTGCACAAATTAAAAAAAATACTAAAACATAAAAAAATTTCATCGAAATTTCCAAATTTTTAATCAGAATATTAAGAAAATTTTTGAATATGCAGTTTTGTAGCCCATTAAAGTTTAGTCCAATAAACTACACGGTTCATGTCGCTAAAAATTACCGTTGATTTTTTACAACTTTTTTGTAGGGGGTGTTGCGGATTTTTTTTTTTGTCATGTAAAAATAGATCTTGATCATGCGTTACAAAACTGCATAATCGAAAATTTTCTAAATATTCTGATTAAAAATTTGGAAATTTTGATGAACACTTTTTAAGTTTGACGATTTTTTTTAAATTTGTGAAAGCTTTGAAACTTTTATTTATGTGGTTTCCGTTTTGGATTGAATTATATTTTAAATGAAAATTATTAAAGATAAATAAATAAACATGAGTTGCAAACTATATTTATCATTTTTAATTTCGGTGCTAATTAGTTGAACACAGGTATACATACATATGTATGTATGCATTTACATATGCACATATGTATGTGGTGATTTGCAAACATTTACTCCCAAATTCATAAAAAATAAAGAAGACTTTAACTGCTTTATAAGTGGAAAATTTGTAAACCTCTATTTTACTTTTTATGAATAAGGTATTGAAATCGTGGTAGCTGTGTGCAGTTGCTGTGCATGCCACTTGTTGATGAAGTTACATAACTCGTTTCTATATGTATATGCTCATATAAATAATTGTAACAAACCTACTACATATATGCACATTAGGGTAGTCCAAAAATGCATGTAAAAAGGTAAAGGCGGAATTGTAATGCTCTCACCCCCTAGGATTATTCTATATCGAAAAAAAGATACCGCTATTTTTTATTTCGAAATCAAAAAATATATGCAGGTCGCTCAAAGCGCCCAAAGTTTTGCATGTATTTTATATGGGGAAGAAACAATTTTGCGTAGAAATGGTATAGAATACTTAAAAATCAATATTTTTCTATCGCAAAACTAGGTTTATCTGCAAGAGATTCCCAGTAATAATACCCGATTGTTTATTTAACCATTTTTTCATCGCAACTATAATTTATAGGTCCGCCAAAAACTAAAAAAAAAACCGAAAAATGCAATGGGGGGATGCATAGTATTAAAAAATGATTAAATAAACAATTGGGTATTATTATTGAAAGTCTTCTGAAGAGAACCAGAGCTTTCTGATCGAAAAATATTGGTTTTAAAGAATTCTATACCATTTCTACGAAAAGTTGTTTTTTCTCCATATAAAAATACATGGAAAACTTTGACCTGTAAATATTTTTTTGATTTCAAAATAAAAAAATAGGGGTATACTTTTTTCGATATAGAACAACCCACCACCCGAATGTACATATGTATACATAAATATGTAAGTATAGTATGTATATTTCGATTCTAAAGCTGGAGAATAATCAATCTACTTTATATTTATCAAAGCGGTTTAGTTTACTTACTTTCCACTAAAGAAAAATCTGAAAAAAAAAACACTTTTTCACTTTTCTTGCATCAATGAATTGACAGAACCGGTCTATGTCACTGTTATGTCCATACAGCTAGTTGAGTATCGCCACCTTAACATAAAAAGGCGCTATCTCACATCGTCGCTGAAATGCAAAAAAGCCGTAACTAACTAAAATATTGTATTGCATAAAACGATGTGTGGACTTATAATTTGATAAAATGTATCATAATCAATCAGAAATTAAAAATTTTGAATATTTAGTTAGTTACGGCTTTTGTATTTCAGCGACGATGTGAGATAGGGCCTTCTACATACATATATTAAGGTAACGATATGTTTGTATATACATACATATCGCACACCGTCTTCGAAAGAGTCACAACGCAAAATATGGCATTTTTGAAATTATGCGCTAAAAATGTACACAGAGCTTTTATTTACCTTTCAACAAAATCTGGAGCAAATTTTTGTTATAATTTGTTAAAAAAACCTATGATAAAGTCGCTCTTGCCCATATGATTAGCATGTGATACGAAATAGTTTTTCGCATTTTCTGACGAACGTATTATTTTGAGTTGTGACCCTTTTGCATACGGTGTGCGATATGTATATAGCAAAAGAATACAATAAAGTTAATTTAGAGAGGCACAATAAGATTTTATGTACATATATACATACATACATAGGTGCATACATATACGTAGGTACATAAATATATATATATAAATACATAGGTACATACATATACAAATGTACATATATGTATGTATGTGCGTAGGTATTATTCAAATAATTCAATATTATCTGAATTCTAGATATTTTATATATGTACATATATAGGTATATATGTACCTATGAATATATGCGTATCAATATGCACAAATTTATGTACACTTTTATGTGTTGTGTATGTACATATGTATGTATGAAAAATAAATAGACCAAAATACTATATGATTGCGGTATGATGTAGTCTTATCAATTTATATAAATATATGTATGCATATATAAACTTATGTACAAACCTGAGTAGATATGTATGCACATTTTACAAATCAATTGAAATCAATATTTCTCATTAACTTTTTTACTTTTAGGTATATAATTTTTTCAGTTCTATTCTATCCTTAATGTACATTTTTTACTTCCCTGCATAAATATGGAAGGCCACTTATTCCACATCTTTTAGCCAATGTAATTCTCAACAGCCTTTTCGACTGTTCAAGCAGAACAAAAAGCATTCATACACAAATAGAATTGAGACTTGCCTTTGCTATGTGCGATAAATGCTTACTCTAACTACACCAATCAACCAGCATCGCGTGGCTAGCTAGCTGTGTTGGCCGAGTTTGTTGATGAGCTGGCGGTAATTTTCAGTGCTTTTGCTTGTTCTTCGCGGCTATGGTTCAAGTCGCCGCGCTTGTGCTTGGCTCTCTGTCAAATTTAGTATGGAAACGATGTTTGTTTTTCTTATTAAATAAAAATGTGCATAACTATTAATCATTCGGTAGAACGCTATTCACAAGCAGTCAGCGGTTTAGATTTCATAAAATAATTTAAACAGCGTTACACTTGTGATAGAGCAAATTAAAATTCGGATAATCGCTTGCCTCGCCTCCATGTCGTACTGTTCTAGTGCGCTGGATGTGCGTCCTGGCAGGCGATAGGTTCGGCACTCTCCTGAGAGTTGAATTGAGACAGTCACGCGCATAAGAAATTATGTGCGGTGCGATAAGCAAGTGCTCAATTCGTAGTTGGAGAGTTGACAAGTTATTTTTGTGTTTGCTTTTTTTCATCGCTCCCACTGCCAATAAAAAAATTATTTTATTATATGCGCCCATTGGGGTGGTCCAAAAATGCAACTAAACTCGGAACCTTAAAGCTCTCGCCCCTAGGATTTTTGTTTTAATAAATAATATTTAGAGGTCGTTTGAAGTGCTAACAGTTTCGCGTGTATTTTATATGAGGGAAAACTATTTTTCGTAGAAATGGTATACAATACTTGAAACTAAATATTTTTTAAAGAGCCAAGTCTATTTCTTTTCATGCGACTTCAAAAAATACTACCAAATTGTTTATTTAACAATTTTGTAATATTAAAAATTTTTCATGGGTCCCCATTGCATTATTCGGGTTATTGTGGGACCTATGAAAATACATAATTGAGTTTGTCGATTGAAAAATACATATTCAATACCATTTCTACGTAAATTGTTTTTTTTTTTCATACAAAAAATACATGGGACACTTTGAGCGCCTTGGGTGAACCTTAAATATATTTTGTTTAAAAAAGAAAACCAATGATTTTTTCGATGCACATACATAGAATAATTCTAAAGGGTGAGAGCATTTAAATTCCGGCTTTACTTTGTTCGGACCACCCTAATGTACATATGTATATCAGTAGCGGATACAAGATTTTATTTGAGTGGGGGTCGATTGGGATAAACTTGTCAAATAACGTTAAATTACATGCATCTAACTTGATTCACCCGGGAGGGACCAATCAAATTTCGAGCTATGATCTACAAGCATTCAACCTGCTTGAAGTTATTTTTCATGCAAATAGAGGTTCGAGTAATTTTTATGACGTGTCAAGTAAAGTGTTTTGTGATATAATTTTAGTTTTAGGAAGTTTCATTTTGTGAATTCGGCGCAAGGTCCATTTACAGAGTCCCTGTAATAAAACAATTACACTAAGTATTTTGTAAAAAAACACAAGATAAAAAGTTATACGTAACATAACAACTTATTCCGAGTTTCGATTATAATAATTTAAATTTCAAACTCAATTTTGTCTTTTGCTTTTGCGAATCTTTCTATTATCCTTTCAGTGTCAATTTCAATATTAACGCTATTATAGCGCTTTCTTTTCTTGAAATAATGTTGCATTTATTCTCCACTGGGCCAGGGCTGTAAAGTTTTCGTGTTCTTTTCTCAGCATCTTCACATGCATATTACGTGCTCTTACTTTAAAATGTTGCCCTCTGATAATGTTGCCATATAAGAGGTGACATTTTTTTTCGAGAAAAGAAGCCGCTATTAGTGTACGTGTAAAAGTGCAAGACCTCTCACTCTTTCTTCATTCATGGTACTACGAAACCTTGTTTTTAAGCGGCCAAAAGGCTGAAAAGATGAATGTGCGTGAGACACTTTATGGCTAATTTGTGCCTATTTTAGCAGAGGTGGGTATTCTGCTAAATT